CGTCAATTTTTTCATTTACCATTGGTTCGCAAAAAAAACCTCTGTCTTGGGAAGAACCAGCAAGAAACCCAGCGGGACTATTTTTTTTTCAAATAATAGCTTAGAATCATGTTTACATTTAACAACACAAGACAAATTAGAAATAGCTTGGTAGCGATCACCCTTCCCAGGGGTTATTATCATCCATAAATTCCTTAATATTGTAATAACTCTTTTTATACAAACTTAGTTTAACAAAATTTTTGAACTTTGCGTATGACAAATTTTGTATATTTTCTGGGATTTTATTGTAAAGCGTATACATCGCCCCAAGAATGAATTACTGACTCGGTGCAGTCGAGTAACTGGTACTACTAGCTTGTGTCTGTTCCTAGTATTTACAGAATGAATATCACTTATTTTTGCAAAACTACGTTTATTCTTGTGTACGTACATTACATTTTCATAAATATATTGAAAGGCGAGAGTTAATATATTAATTTCCTTAAATTTTTGTCTCAGTGACTCTTTTGGTTTTAAATTATATATTGCTCTAATGGCTCTCTTCTGTAAAATAAATATAATTTCAGTGTCAGTCGTGTGTCCCCATAGCAAAATACCATACGACATAATGCTATGGAAATAACTAAACTATTCTAGTATAGTATAGTATAATATCGTATCGGTTCGGTAAACTATTCCACAGAGAGGTTGTACGCGGAAGAAAACTCCTTTTGAAACGTACAGTGGTGGACCGCCAAGCATCCAGATGGTGTGGATGGTATCGGGATATTTGCCGCGTAGTGAGTTCACGAAATTTGGCGGCTGGGATTAATCCGAACAATTCCTCAGAGCGCTCTCCATGGTATATGCGAAAGAAAATGCAAAGAGATGCAACATCTCTTCGCAGTGCCAGTGAATCGAGCCGATTGGAAAGCACTCAGTCGTCGACGATTCGAGCCGCTCTGCGCTGGATGCCGTCAAGTGCAAGGAACTGGTACTGGGGAGCCCCAGCCCAGAGATGGGAACAATATTCCATGTGCGGCCGAACCTGCACCTTGTAAAGTTGCAGGCGGTGTGCCGGCATGAAATACTGTCCCGCTCTGCTGAGCACGCCAAGCTTTTCAGAGGCCAATTTGGCCTACTCTTCCAAATGACCACGAAACTGCATGTTACTCGATATGTCGACGCCGAGGATTCCGATACTGGCTGAGGCAACAAGGGGAGTGCCTTGAAACTGAGGAAATACGATAAAGGGGTTCTTTTTAGCGGTTAACGCGTAAACAAGTGTCTTCTGGAGGTTAAACTGGACTAGATTTAGTCGCCCCCAATCCGAGACTCTGTTCGGCAAAAATTCGACTTCAGACACAAGTTTGTCCCGGCACTCGGAGACGTTTTCCCGAGAAATATTGGCTCGGCCGGTGTAAAGAGCAACACCATTGCTGTCATCTGCATAGCAATGAATGTAACGGGTTTGCAACATATTGATATGCAGAAGGAACAGCGTTGGCGATAGCATGCAGCCTTGTGGAACACCAGCATTAATAGGCTTGCAATCGGAGCTTGCACCGTCTAAAACTACCTTAATGCTCCGATCTGCAAGAAAGCTGGTGATCCAATCGCACGATTTCTCGGGAAGCCCTTAGTAAGGGAGCGAAAGAAGCGCTTTGTGCCAAACCCGATCGAAGGCCTTCGTAATGTCCAAACTAACGGCCAATGCCTCCCCCTTGGACTCTACTGCCTCCGCCCATCTGTGAGTTAGGTAGACCAGAAGATCACCAGCTGACCACGGCGAAAACCGTATTGGCGGTCACTAATCAGCTGGTGATCCTCAAGGTACCTCATGAGCTGGCAATTTAAAATGGACTCCATTGTTTTGGAGAACAAGGAGGTGATGGCAATAGGCCGGTAGTTGGATGGGTCTGAACGGTCGCCTTTTTTAGGGATCGGGTGGATGAGAGCCGTCTTCCATAATTTTGGGACTACGCCTAGGGAGAAGGAGTACCGGAAAAGATGCGTTAAAATCGGTGCCAACTCTGGAGCACACGTCCTCAGCACAATTGGGGGGATTCCGTCAGGCCCAATCGACTTATGAATGTCCAGGGAGAGGAGTGCTTTGTGAACCGAGCGCTGTGTGAACTGCACTTCCGGCATGGAGCACTCACACCGCGGGATGGTCGGCGGCGTACTCCCCTCGTCATCGAGGGTCGAGTTGGATGCAAAGAAAGAGCCTGGGCCCATACCAGGAGAAAGTCATCTCTGATCGACTTTCTCCTTTGCGGTATGGGCCAGTGAGTCGTCCTCCCTGTGCAGAGATAGAAGAGATGGCTGACAGAAATTTACCTGGAAGGCGAACTAGTTTCTCGCCAATTCTGCCTATGTGCTTTGACTTTGCCATGGCAATGACTCTTTTGAAGGACCTAGAGGCGGAATTATGATACAGTATTATTTGCTAATGATACATAGAATCAGAGCAGCGTTAAGCTCAATACAACATTGTTCAGAGAAACAAAGCCATTATGAACAAGCAGTTTGAATTGGTTCAGAGGTATCTACAAGATCGTATGGGCACATGGTCATATGGGCGCATATTTATTGTCTCCAGAACGATTGGAAAAGCAGGTGAACATCATATATTGTCTATATATGACACGAGGCATCCTCAGGTAATGTAGACTCTACGGCGACTGACCGCTAAGTCTTAGTCTTAGTGCTAAGTTTTGGCGGTCAGTCGCCGTAGAGTCTATATTACCTGAGGATGCCTCGTGTAGAGGCGAAACACGCGTCGTATTGTCGTCGATGGTGTGTCTTACCTGGAATAGTGGTGTTGGATGTAGTGGTGCCGGGAGTAGTGGTGTTGAGAGTAGTGGTGCTGGGACTAGTGGTGATGGATTTAGTGCATGCAATTGAGGGAGGGAGGAAGGTGCTCTTTAATCCAGGTAAGACACATTATTGTAATTAGTTAGCGGAAGGTTGCAAAGTAATAAATTATTTATTATAATATTATTTATTAATTATGAACACATGTATAACTTCCGTATTTCTGCATATACCAGCATATAACTATATAAAGTATATTCCTTCACAATAAAATCAGTGTTGAACGACTTTCATTGGGTTGGTTTCGTACATTAACTTTTCCTTACATCTCGTTCTGCACTCCTATTGTAAACTGTAGACACACTACAACCCCATTATGTAGTTCCAAGGGGTGACAACAAGCAAACCTCCTATGAGGCAATCTATGGTGGAGGCCTATGTACATTTCGGACTTTTGTTAGGCTATTACGGTAACGAATGCTGGATATGAAGTGACGACTTGGTAAGTGATGCAGGAATTCGATGAATGCTGTGCTTTGTGATATACCTTGAGGGAGACCTAAGTTCAGCAGCGGACTTGTGAAGGGCTTTAATGATAATAGTAGGTATAATTGCTTAGTACAACAGTTCATTACATGTGTCATTTGTGTTATAAATCCCTCTTTATTTACAACAAACCGTTTCGCTAACAAAAATAACTTGAAAACATTTATCGTTTTTATTGCTGTACTGGACTGTTACATATATGGTTTTTACCAAGTTTTTACTAGTCATTCAATGTGCAGCAGCTTGCGCTCCAGTTTCAAACACATAAAATATAATTCTTTACATTGAACTAATATGTACGTACTAAAACAGACACCGGTCACAAGTCTGGGCCCATGGGCTCTAACGCGTGTTGCGGACGACCCTAGTCTCGGTTTCTTTTCTAGTACGTAGCACATATGTATATATATTTAATTAAATCATTATACAATGTGACATTTCTGTCTTATTTAATATTATTCTATACAGGGTTATTTTTCAAAGAGTAGCCAAAATTTAAACTAAGTTCTAATATAAAAATAATTATATTCCATTATTGTAGTTTTTTGGAAATATGAGTAAATAAGGCTTCCACTTTTATTTGAAATATAAAAGTGAAAGCCTTATTTATAAAGGTTCACATAAAGGTTGTTGCCCATAAATCACATTCAATTGAATGTGATTTATGGGCAACAACCTTTATACCTACCGATCGTCCCTCACAAATGTGTGCGTGCGCAGTAAAATCAGTTAAAATAATGAATTATCACGCATTTTGAATTTTAAATATAGATAGAAAAAATGTTTGAGTTTTTTTTAATTATTTTTTTTTCACCATTTGCCTTTATTACTTATTATGAACCTGCTCTGCAAATTTGGCCGGTAATTGCAAAACAACCCTATAATATCTCTAAGAGTGAATACTAGTATTCGTAAATACTTAATTTTATAATAATTTATACACATAGTAACTTAATTTTATATAAAAACAAAGGGAAATCTTTGGTATTTCGGTAATCATGTCGTAAGCTACAAATACAGATAAGATAACATGATTAAGAATAGCCACAGAAATCTAAATAATAAGGCTATATTATTTAGATTTCTGTGGGTATAGACATTAACTGGTAGAGATATTTTAATTCTAGTTTTTACCTTTTACTTTTATATAAAAAATATAAATAATTTTACTGTCAGTATTTAAACAAAAACATAACTTATAAAATCATACTAAATATATCACTTTTACTACAGTGTACTAACAAGGAAGCTCCGAATTTTATAATTAAATTCAATGTGATCAACTTCCGTCTAAAACTGGTATTGCACTGTTACTAGAATAACTTGAAAGTCAATTTTTTTCAAAAATTACAAAACGCAATGAGTGATATGAGCTACAATACATTCACTTATTATAGTTTAACTAGTAGGTGAGTATTGTCCCACCTGACAATAAGTTGTGAAGCAGCCGAAGTTGTTGAAGCGCGCTTACTTAGCTAATTAAAGACTTACTTAAGCTATTTAAGCTATATTAAGCCATTGCGTGACTACTATCCACCTGATAGTAAGTTTGGCAGCACCCAAAGATGGTGAAACGCGATGACTTAACCGAAAAAGACGTGCCTCTGCTTTTTAAAAGCAAAGACTCAGAAGAAATATCGCAAAAGAGTAAATGTCTATTCTCGATGAGAAGACGTGTGGTGGGGCCTGGTATCAGTCGCGCTAGGAGTGAGGGATAGACGACGTATGTTGGGGCGGTCGTACTCCTCCATGGACATGCCGCGCGACATGCGCCGCTCCACGCCCGGGGGAGGCAGTGACGTCAGCCGGCCCTGGCCCTGGCAGAACAACAGCAGCGATTGCGCCACCTTCGCCGGCTGCATTCATACAACACAATAAATATTAATGATGTTAAAAAAACATGAAATTCGGAAAAAAATCTTCTATCCTGGGAAGAACCTGCAAGAAACCCAGCGGTTCTTTGCTTTTTTTTCAAAGTAAATTGTTTATTAAGTAAGGTTGTATATGCGCAGTTTACACGCAGTGGAAGTAAAACCTTCAGAAATTAAAAATTCAACACAATGAAACGAATGCAGAGTATCAGAATTGGGATTATTTATATTATATTTTATATTAGATTTTATTCTACATATATTACATTATTATACAGCCTCCAAGTTTTCCATTTCATCATCATACGTACTTAAATATCTTTTAATCAATAAATTTTGTCCTTATTTCTCAAAGATCATAAGCATGATCTCCATTCATAATAAGAATACAGTAAACTGTATGCTGTCTCATTCTCTCGTAGGCTAAATCGCATTGCTATATATGTTTGCCTCTTTTTAGTGTCGCTGTTTCGTTTTATCGACTTTCAAATCGCAACGATTCTAAAGAAGTTTTCAGCTCGAAAATTAATTAGCCAATATGCGCGTAATATAATAAAATAAATTAGCTGAGAACCGCGTAATAAAATAAAATGAAGTGTCTGACGTAAATTCCTCGGTTCCTCGATAAGACGACGGTGGTGTGTCTTTTCTAGTGTAGGGATGTTGGGAGTAGTGGTGCTGGGATTAGTGGTGACGCGGACAGTGCACGCCATTAAGATAGTGTTGTCAGGTCTTAAAACCGAAAAGTCGAACAGACCAGCGAGCTTAGCCGGACATTTTGGTGAAAAGGCCGGACACCCTTAATTTTTGGCTTAGTAAAAGACATTTTTTTAAAGTAAAACAATGCTTTTTATCATTTACCGTAAAATCTTCATAAGTGGTAACGAAATAACAACAATTGAATAAATTAGTCTTCTTTATTATTAAGTATTCGATATTTATTCATTACAATATTAATTTCAATAATTACAATAGTATGTAAGTGCAATAGTATGAAAAATGTAAAGAAATGGTCAAATTTAAAAAGCTTAACAAAAGCAGGACACCGTCTAATTTAGCTGGACACGCAACCAAAAAGCCTGAATTTTTGGTCCGAAGGCGAGAGGTGCTCTTCGAACTAGGTAAGACACATAAGTTTACTTTCTTACGCGAATCTTAGATAAGTACTTTTTCATTATTACTCATCATTACAGCCTGTCACAAGTCCACTGTTGAACATAGCCCTCCCCCCAAGGAATGCCACAAAGCACGATCCTGAACAACTTGCATCTATCGACTTCCTGATTCTCCTGTGTGATGTTGACAAGTATGTTTACCCTTTGTCCAGGGTAAACATACTTGTCAACAACTTCGAGCATAGTGCTCCCAACAATTATCGGCATAGGTGACTTAGGTTTGCGGCAGCTTAGGGTGGGTTGAAGTGAAAGGAGACGAAGACTACTTTTATTTTCTAACTTGCAAGCTAACTTAAGTACTATGAGTACATGTAAGTACACGGGAATACCAGACTTCTTAATTAGACCCTGAGTTTTATACTATGAATATTCTTAAGTCACGTAATTTAATTGAGTCATGTCTTTAAAGTCGTGCTGGTTTTTGCTTAGCAGGCGATAGGTGACTTCCTGATGGAACAGTGTTGAATATTCTTAAGTCACGTGTTGTTGTTTGCTTAGCAGGCGGTGTTGTATGGTAGGTGACTTCCTGATTGCTTGCAAGGTCTCGGTAGGCATGTGTAGCTGGTGTGACATGAATGTTACACATGACTTTTGTTGTGTCCATGTTCATCTTATGACGTATCCGATGGGAGAAACAATTGAGATCATGGAGCATAGTGCTTAGGTCCTCCAGTGATTCTACTATAAAGAGTATATCGTCAACAAATCGAGGGTCAGTGTTAAACTCACCATTGACGTTAATACCGTACCTTTCTAGTTCAGCAGTTTGAAATCCTGTTCCAATGCAGCGGTGAAAAGTTTCGAGGATAAAACGTCTCCCTCTCTTACACTACCTGCAGTTGGATAGGTTTCGTACTCCGATTTTGTACTTGGATAGCCATAGTAGCCATATCGTACAAGCCACAGAAGTAGGCTCTGCGATGACTGACCGCCGTCTTCCCTAGTATATCGCACGCAATAGATGGAGGGCGGGAGGTGATCTTGAAACTAGGTAAGACACGTCATTTTATTTTATTACGCGTATCTAAGCTAATAATTTTTTAACATCCTTAAACAGATCCTATATCTATGTATTTAACCACTTAACTTACAGCTTCACCAAGCACGTCACCAACTTTGTCAATCTTCAGAATGGTGACCTTATCCTTGTCGAGTTCCTTGTACATCTTCTCTATTACGCCGGCATATGGGCTCAAAGTACCCGTGATTAGCAAGATGTCTGGTTGGCAGCCGCGAAGTATCAAGTCCTTACGGCTGAAAGCAATAATACAAACCATGTTCTATGTTAATAGATAGATAAAGCCTTTGTGTATTTGTTTCTCCTATATCACAAGTGACTAAACTAGGTACTAAGTAACATACTACAAAAAAAAATTCAACAAGTAGATGTAACACACATGTAACGTATGATTCTATTAATTCTGATAGCTTAAATTTATATTGATATACAAGAATTATCACTTGGCGATGGTGTAAGAGAATCCATTAACCCATTTCATATTATAGGTGTCGGAAGGATCGACTATGGGAAATGCTAGAAAAATACAACAATATATTGTTGTATAAATATATATCTTTATCATCATCATCATTACAGCCCTTCACAAGTCCACTGCTGAACATAGGCCTCCCCCAAGGTATGCCACAAAGCACGGTCCTGAGCCACCTGCATCCATCGACTTCCTGCGTGTCTTACCAGGTCGTCACTCCATCTAGTGGGGGGTCGCCCTACACTTCTAAACACTTAAGACACTCACTTAACACTTAAGACCACCGCACTTCTGCTCCACGCCTCCGGAGTAGTGCCACCATGGAAGACGGAATTAAAGAGCCTCTAAAGGATATCAAGTACCGGTTTTCCACCCGCTTTGAGAAGCTCCGCTGTAATTTCATCCTAGCCCGGGGACTTGCCGTTTTTAAGGTGCTAGAGAGCCATTCTAATCTCGCTCAGACTGACGTCCGGGATATCATCGGAATAGTGTCAGATAAGACTTACTCTTGGATCGTTACTCACACTTGCGTGTAGCTCCAACGATGATGTATACAGCTGCTCATAGAACCTCTCAATCTCACTCAGAATCTCGGATGTCCCGGAAACGATGCTGCCACACTCAGTCTTCAGCTTTGACGGTTGGCTCTAACTGGCAGACAAATCTCTGGCAAAGACTTTGGAGCCCTGGTTCCACTCGATCGCTTCTTCAATACGAGCAGTATTAAAGTTGCGCAAGTCTCGCCGCATGCATTTGGAAATCTGTCTGTTCAGTTACCTGTATGCTGTCAAATCTGTTGACGATTATAGCCTCATCTCCCGTCTAACAGCCATGAGATTAAGAGTGTGATCGGAGAGTTTTTGTGTTCTTCTGCGGCGAGTCTTGCAAACTTAGCTCCAACCGCATGGACAGTTTCCACGAGCTTGTCATTTATATCGTCCACTGCATTGCAATCTTCTAGGCACTGAAAGCGGTTACGTAACTCGAGCTGAAAGGTTTCAGGATTCTGTATTAGAGCACGAGGGGGACGGAGCGTTGACTTCACTAGACGAGACCTCTCCAACTTAACGTTTAGATTCAGTGTGCCTAGCCTAGCCCACCATTTGGTGATCGCTGCCAGTTTTCACACTTGCGATCACTTAGACATCACTGAACAGTTGGCGTCTGGTCTTCGTAATGAAGTCAATCACATTTTTTATCGAACCGTCGGGGCTCGACCAGGTCCACTTCCTGTGGGGCCGCTTCTGGAAAAAAGAGTTCATCATAAAGAGTCCCTCTTTCTCCATAAAATCGGCCAGCTGCTGGCCTCTACGGTTCCGTTGCCCTACTCCAAATTTCCCTAACTTCAGCTCACCGCTTTCTCTTGTGCCTAGTTTTGTGTTGAAGTCTTCCATCAATACCGTATAGTGGGTTTTGGAGGAAAGCTTGGCTCTAGAATATATACTCATACATTTCCTCCACCTCCTCATCGGGATGTGCCGAAATTGGTGCGTAAACCTGTATGGCCTTCAGCGAATACCTTTTGGTGATTCTGAGTATCAGGTACGCGACCCTCGTCGACACAATCCCAATCTTTACAACGTTGTTGACGAGAGACTTGTGGACGATAAATCCGACACCTCCTTGGGACAGATGGTCGCCCTCCCGGTGATAGAACAAGTTGCCGGACTCGAAGATTACCGTATCCTCCCCCTCTCTTCGGACCTCGGATAATCCAATAATATGCCAGCGCAACTTGTCTACCTCTTCTTCCAGCTCCATTATCTTCTCGTCAGTCCTCAGGGTGCGTGCGTGCATAATTGCCACGCTAGGCGAGCGGGTTGGCAACCGCAGTTTTTTATTATATTAGTGTTGTTATTATAAAGATGCTGCTGCCCATCTCCTGCCTGTCTCCCTCTGCCGCCTCTTAGGACACCCATGGGAAGATATGGGGTATTGGATATTCTCACGCATGTCGTAAAACTGGCGACGAGCAGAAGCGTCTATATCAAGCTTCACGATTAAGGCAAACTCTACCTTTTTATGTAGCGATTAGGGTAACACACAAGCGCACAGTCCACCTAATGGCAAGAGACTGCTGTAACGCATAACCATATGAATAGATAAGGAATCAAAATATCGATGTGTCAACCCTGAGGACTATGCTGTAATGCCTCGTTACCAGTAATAAATGCCTTCAGTTCTCTTACCATCCGAAACACATCGACATGGACATGGCACATTAAAGCGCACGGACAAATACCTCTCACGTTAGGGAGAATCTCTCGTTCAGCTTCTTCAATTCTCTCGTCAAGCAGTCGACTTTTATAGACTAATGAAAAAAAATAAAAGAACTGAACTCACTTGATGAACGCTCTGACGTACTGCTTGATGTTGTGCGTGTTGAGGTTGCCTCGCAACCTGGACCGGTACTCGCTGAGCACGCGGTCGCGCTCCGTCACTTCGCAGGTGTCGCTTGCGATTTGCTGTACGTGAACAAAGACAAAGAAGATGGAAATATGCCTAGTTAATTAGTACATGCTGCACGTTTATAGGCTACATACTTTTCAGCGGTCCGAGTAAATTTCATTCCTCGCTGACACCAAAGAACATGTTTTTTGACACGAAAGTCACGCCTCTTAGGCATGAGGTGAAATATTGAGGGAAGTTATTTTTTATGAAAATGTAAGAGTTAATGTTTCTTTCTGTAATATTAGTTATATTTTACATCAGAGCATATTTCTCTACTAATTGGAAAATGCATGTCCCAGGTCATTTCACAGTTTCTAAAGTAGATGTCATTATTAATAAGTTTATTGTATTTATAACGACAATATATAAGCTATTTTTGACACACTCAAAAAAAGAGAAGAACTGAAGGGACAATAACATCGGAAATATCAGATGAAGAAAGATATAGGCACTAAAAATTTATTTAAGGCCATGAGTCTGCATCACCAAGGATCAGGATTGTGCTACTTATCCCGCAAATAAAAACGTTTTACAAGAGGTCACAAATACTTTTGTTAGGTAAAATACGCCCAATTCTAGTCGTTCAGCCACTGCTTCTCCGACTCCTTTAAGATTGCCGGAAAATGGATTAATTGATAGACACATAAATGCGTTGCAGTGAAGAGATTCAAACGTATTATTTTTGGTGGGTCTACACTACAGCTTAGTCTTCACACTGTCGTACTTCGCACTGTTAATCTTGTTTTTTTTTTTGTTACTCCATAAAGTCCGACTAGAGATATTATCAATTAAGATAAGAATTTTTGATAAGGTTAATACGAGTGTTTATAGAATTAAAAAAAAATATAATTTGGCCCATTGCGCTGGTTTCTATCCTATCAAAAATGTATGAGAAGGTTATGCATGAAAAACTTACATCGTTTCTTGATAAATATCATATACAATCAATATGGATTTCGAAAAAGTAAATCCACTACACATGCGGTATATGACTTAGTGAATGAGACAGTTACACAACTAAACAAGAAACAATATACGACGGAGCTTTTCTTTAATATGTCGAAAGCTTTCGATTTTGTTTCGCATGATCAACTACTAGCAAAGTTGGAGCAATGCGGCGTTAGAGGCACTGCTTTGAACTGGATTAAAACATACTTGCAGAATAAATTCAATCAGTCGATTTCGCAAAACTTGACTCTAACCATGTAGTGGAAAACTACAGATCGAAATTTAAGGAAAATAAGTTTAGCGTTCCTCAAGGTAATATACTGGTACCTCTTCTGTTCCTAATTTATATTAATAATTTCCTAAATGTGACCAAGCTTCGATGTATCCTATTCGCTGATGATATATCTATAATAATAGTGATGACTGTGCAGCTGTAGCAACATGACTGATTCAAATTTACTGGACCAGATATGAATTTTTTATTAGTGATCACCTATTTATTGATTACTTGTTGACGTTTTGTTATTATGGACATTTTACTCATAAATATTATTATCTCAGTATTTTATCATGCTATTAATAATGACTTATTAAGCGAATATTTAATTACTATGACCATTTTCAGTGTACTTAACCAAACGCAAATAAATATTTCATTTCATTTCAACATTAGCGAGACTTCTAAACTTTTTAAAGCATATGCTGCAGAACTAAGTCTGCTTGCTAATTTAGATATATGAATGTATCCACAAGACTAAATTCCTCCCCATTTAAGGTTACATAGGTATTCGAATGTTTAACATTAGGTAATTTAAATTTTATACAATTTGTCTTGTTACCGTTTAAGAGCAAATGGTTGGTGAACCAAATGTACGAACTTCGATAGAAAATTAATTATGTCGTTATAATTAATTGACTGCCGTTTGAATTTTAGAATTAGGGAGATATCATCAGCAAATAATACTATATCGTGATTGTCCCCTACAAGTTAAAGTAAGTGTCATTTACTGCAATAAAATAATTAAAAACGCTCAGGAAAGTTTGAATTTGAAAGTTTTGAATACTCCAACCCATAGACACCAACCCATCCTTGATTAAAAATTAAAATGCCAATGTATCGTCACACCTGAGGAAGATCTAACTACCAGTAAAAAGAATCTCCGTTTCTCATTGCACAATACATACACAGCAGTATTAAGCTGCTCCTTGACCCTGGCATTCACTACATGCATAGTCCTTCTTTGACTGCCTAGTTGGTCTAGCGGTTATAGTAGTGCGACTGCTGATCATGAGGTCCCGGGTTCAAATCCTGGGTTGGGCTAAAAATCAATTATTGAGTTTTTCTGTCAAGAAATTCTCAGTAGTTGCCCGTAGTCAGGAAGTTGGCGGTGTCTCGCCCCTGTGCCTCGGAAAACAAGTAAAGCCGTTGGTCATGCGCTTGATCTCTCTCCGGTCGTGTCGGTTTACCGTCTCATTGTATTATTAAGAGTGAGGGAATAGAGAGTGCACCTGTGCTTGCGCATACACTTGCGCACTATAATCCTGTCCTGCGCCGTTGGCTAGCCTCCGTTGCAGGCCAGCGTGGCTGAAATTCAGTCTTGAGGACATTATTTCTACTCCAGTTGAGCTTCTTTAATCTTTGTTTGACTTTGGCTGCAGATGTCTATTAATTGCAAAAGCGTTTTACCATCAGGTGGACTGTAAAAAGGGAAGATAATGCATCTGTAGCTTTCTTTGATGGCTTCAGGACATTGAGTGACTCACAGTCAAACTGATGTTAATGGCTACCGCAGTATATGTACACCTGCAGCCAACTTATACCATACTAAATAAACCTTGTACATATCATAAAATAATATAAACATACAGTGGTAAAACCAGACTGCCACCTATATTATAGTTGTAGCAGATATGGTTCGGCTAAATTGGACAAGGACCCCGCTCTCACGGAATATCACCATAATGTCCCACTCAACCACTGCTACTGCTCCTATCCCTGCTGGAAATATTTCCCTAAATACTTCTGCGGCAATAACGACGCGACTGGGTGTTTACACTCAGCCTTCATTTTTTTTATTGATCAACTCGCAACGATGATTGACGTCAAATTTGTTGGTGTGACAGCATTATGTCTGATCAGTATAAGTAGCTACTACGTGCAGTTTATGGTTTTTATCATGAGGATCCCATATTACGCGCTCAATTTCATAAAATTCTAAAGATCTTATTGTTTTATCATTACTAAATATTGTTAAAACACAGGATAGATTATTAAACAAATTGCTGTTTTTAAACGTAGCACGTTCTTTCTCGGTCGAACTTCGGCGGCAAGTGAACGAGAACGTAAACACTCGCTGCCGCTGGCGCTGCCCGTCCTTTGACTTCCGCGCGAAAATCCGACAATCGAGGGAACGCCGGGCTGTGGCAGCGGCATGGACAGTGACAGCGCGAGTAGCCTATTTACTGCTGCCCTGGTCACTTCCCTACTCACTTCTATGCCCAACAAGACTGAGTGTAAATGGGGCATAAAATAGCAACTTAATGCCGCTATATTTTGTCCAGAAATGAGGCATTCTTAATTAAGGATGAACATACAGTACATGGGTCTTAAGAAAGAAAAATGAGCACACAGTCCACCTGATGGTAAGTAGATGACGTCATCCACTTACCATCAATTGGACTGCGTCCTCGTTTTTTGCTCTTATTCTGTATAAAATTCTTATTACTCTTAATCAAATTAAAACGGCAATTGTTTTATTACCGTGGGAAGCACTGCAGTGAAAAACTCAAAAACAAACTGTTTTACACAATACACGTTGCTATTAATTCTATTTTTTGTTACAAGCAATATACGTCATAGGAATACACTCACAAAATACTTCCCATCGCATTATGTTAATTTATTTTAATTAAAAATTATTTGGTGATGTGAAAGCACCGTTTAGTATTTAATATATTAACTTGTATTTTTCATAGTATAACCCCATAATAAATAAATAGAATATAAAAGATATTATTAAATAGAATTATTAATTAATGAAGTATATAATTACGCACATATTTTAGTCATATAACTATCACTATCACTAAAATGACTAATCGCAAGGCCACTGCTGAAAATAGTCCTCCCCCAAAGATTTCCGTAAATTAAGATACTGAATCACCTGCATTTTTGAGTGTGACAAACGAGCACACAGTCAACCTGATGATAAGTGAAAGCTGTGGCCCATAGATGTTAATTAAAATGCAGATAACTGGGCTCTACAGAGGTCGACAGAGCCACGTGATTGTAACACGAATATGCTCGACCGGGAGAGGACTCCGCTTTCACAGAACACCAGTGCAAAATACACAATAAATATACAGCTTAATGCCACTGTGTCCAGAAACAAGGCACTCCATCTTAGTACTCAGGAGTGACAACGCATCTGCATTTCGAATCTTAATCGGGGACGGATGTAGATTTCTATGTGTGACAGCAACCACTTAGCATTAAGTGAACTGTGTGCTCGTTTGTCACCCTAGTCTAATATAAAAATACAAGTAACTCAGAACCGTACTTTGCGTCAATCTATGGATGCCAATGTTCAGCAATGGACTTGTGATACGTTGCGGTTATAGTGATAAATATAATAATATTAAAAAGTACTAATAATATCAAATTTGAAATAAGCCTACCTGTGACCAGCCTTTCTTATTAGTTGCCGAATCTCTTTACACTGCCGAACAAGCCTCCCCTACGGCCGGGGATATGTGCCATGTTTGCCAAACTTAGACCAAACTTCTTGCTATTATTGAACTATTCTAAGCCGGCGCTTGAGTACTATACCACCTGACGGTAAGTAGTGATGAAGCCGAAGATGGTAAAGCGCACTGATGTAAAAAAGGCTTATGAATTTACTCTTTTCTTAATCCTACATTGTAATCGGACAGAAATACATGCTGACAACATAATAGATATATTATGACATATTTTATAGGCCACTAACGTTAATAGCAAAAGAAAAATGTAGCAATAAAAATAGCCTACGTCCGTAAGCAGGTTGATATATAGACCAATATTATTGCGATAAATGAACTAAACTAAAATACAAATGAAAATAAACTAAATAAAGCTGGGTTTACATTATTTTCGTATTTATGAAAGTAATTTAGCAGGTTAATTTAGCAATTTAGTGCTCCTCGGCGCAACTTCGTCCGCTTGTAATTCAGGGTTTAATTTTTTTGCGCGGAATCGCAATTCTTTTTCTAAAGTAAAAGTATCCTAAGTTACTCCATCAGCTATTTACTTGTGAAAGTCAATAGAGAAGGAGGCTGGGTACTACCACTTGCTTGGGGCCTTTATTAATAAAAATAAAACTAAACCCAAGCATACCCCTGCCAGACTTCAAAACACAGTTAGTTCATTCTGCGTAGATCGGACCAAAGACAACAATTAAAAAGCTGAAGGTACTCCGGGTTAACTTTGACATCAGGACGTCAGTCACTTCAGTCCCCCGTGACCATGGGTGCTGGAAAGCACCCGAAACGTCGGGTATTAAAAATAACGTAAATAAACGCGATAAAATCCGTAAAAGTAGTTTGAATCAATGTATAGTGTTCGCGTAAATATAATAAATCATTATTACAAACAGATATTAAAATTTTATATATTGGTATAAATTCTTAATTGAACCTAACACAATGTACAATACCAAAAGGCGGACTTAAGGGCCAATACTACCTCAGCTCAAATTCTAATTTCGCCCCCACTTCCTCGCACGTCATATGCTATCTGCCGACATGTTTGTAATCACTAATACCGTAAGTAGATAGGCTGTTATATACTTATTTCATTAGGTGTATCATATTTATGCCTGTTTCTTTACACCAACTCAGTCGCTTCTTATTTTTATTACGGTTAATTCCTATTTTAATTTTACGTCGTTATCGTCCTGTTGCATGTGTATTCTGATCGTAAGCAACACAGCTTTCCCGTTCGAAATCCGAAGCGAGACTAATCGGGTGGCAGGGAACAATCTTCAGGACGCCGATAGTTTAGGTAATTTCTTTTTACAGTGAAAATAATGGTAATTAAAAAAACATAAGCCCTGCTTTATAGTTAGTTCAGTTAGTACGCAAAGTTTCATGATCTAACTTAAAGTATTTTATGAATACCAGCGGTTTATTGTTCGGTTTGGAGGTAAATTTGATGTTTTTCCTATCAAGAAAGTTTTACAGAATTGTTTTTTTCGTCTAACATAGTACTTAACATTAATCCTCAATTTTACCATATATTTATTTCAAAATCAATGCTGCAATATTTTGGCAAAACGAAGGATCTTGCTAAGCCATTTAAGGTAGTATAGGCCCTTATTTTTTCACTATTGCTCCTTAATGCTAAAAGCATTATCTGCCAGTCAACCTTGGGACAGTGATTACAGAAACAAAAAACACAATAGAAATATTAAAATTACAATGTAATATTGAGACTTAAGCCACGTACGTGTTTATATGTACAGTAGTAAAAACGTGTAACGATAGCTTTTAGAGATTAGTACTTGCTTTAATACGTTTAATTTTGTATGTGGTAGAGTCACGCTGTAGCTATATTATGGTTGTAGCACGAATAGGCCGGCTCTACCAGGAAAGGAATACGCTCTTACAGAATATCTAAGTAACAGCTCAACGCCGCTGTGTTTCGTGTGGTGAGTCTAGAGATACGGAGACTCATCTTACTTTAAACGTTGCATTCCAACTTAGTCCTCAGGGTTGACTATACCTGCATTCTGATCTATAATCGAAGATAGGTCTTATTTTCTTTAAAAAAATCTATATACGGTTCTATTCTGTCTACAAATAGAAACGTTTTCTATTTTAGGATAAGAGTGACAAACGAGCACGCAGTTCACCTGATGGTAAGTGGATACTGTGGTCTATATACATCTTCATCTATCCTCGATTACGAATCAAAATGCAGATTCGATGTCACCCGTGAAGACTTAGATGAAAAGTCTCGTTTCCAGTAAAATAGGTCTCTGGTTTTCTACACTCACTATACGAAACACAGCAGTGTTGAGTTTCTACTTTACGCTGGTATTTTGTGAGAGCTTCATCTTTCCCCAGTCAGTGCAGCTATATTACTAATATAGCTGCAACATGGCTCACATTCGAGTGCTACTTATGTACTGAACTACTAAAGCAATTAAACAATGTAAGTCGTGCATTAGAGAATTAAGCGAAAGCTATATTAAAAAAATCATAAGTTAGTATTGTAAAACCTACAAACGGACAAATCTAATTATCATAAAAAAGCGTTAAAATCTTACAAAAGTTGAAAAGGTCAACTTTGCTTCTTTTATAATTTTGTTTTATTTGTATAATTTATCACTGATAAAATAAATGTTCGAGAATTTTATCTGCAAATTTTTATTCGTAGGGGGCTTTTAAGTATTACGTAACGCAATTTGGAGGGGGGGGGGGGTCCTGTAAAACGTTACGATGCGTTACGGTGGCGGGAGGTTGGAACAACGTGTTACCGAACACTGTTCTTTTTAAATTTAAATAAAAAGCCCGAAGATAGTTTGCAGAATCCAGCAGAACCTAATCTGGCGTGGTATAGCGCTCACATCCGTGAATCGCAATGTTTCTTGCAAGTGATTAAAAGCGCTCGAGGCGTGCACGGAAATCTGTATTTCCAGATACTTTCCTGCCGCCACCATGGCCAATCCTTCAAACCTGAAGGAAGCTCGTAGCACCTAGTCAGCTAGACAAGGATCATACAAGTTAACTACTTTTCACCATTTCTTGTGACGTCAGTTGATCTATCGCATCATATAGAAGGGTTTAAGCAGATGCCCCACGATTTTTTTGCCCATCAGTACAATCCGACCTCAAAAACAGAATAATATTTGCAGCCTTTGGGATCTATATTACATCTCACAAGTGTGTGTAACATAGATCCCAAAGTCGCCACATGCATGGCAACACTGCTAATAACCGTCGTGAAAGTAGAGTACGGCCACAGCGACTTGCTGTCAGAAGGTCAAATGAACTTCTCTGCATTGTGCGCCGCGGTGAAACATCGTCTGAGGATGCCGATTGGCTCGACGAAGACGAAGTTGATGCAAGTGGTTCAACAATTCCAGAACCCTCTTCGTCTGCTCTCCAGATGTCAGTAATGAGGTAGATAGTAGAGCATCTTAAGTAGGTATTAAAATTGCTCAGTTTTTATTTTAATTTGCAATAATTATTCAGGTATGTATGTACAAAAACTTGACTAATTAACTTCATAATTTAATTCATTATAATAAATTAGTTATAAAATATAAGTTATTTTACCATATTTAATTGTTTTAGGAAAATCTTCAGCTAACTATATCAAATGGTGGGGGTTATTCAATTAAAATAACTATAATATAACAGAAGCAGAAACTTTTTATTTAACATGGATTATAAATAATACTTATTGAAAGTCACTTTTTTCAATTTACCACTACTGTGCTCAAAAAAAATCCTCTATCCTGGGAAGAACCAGCAAGAAACACAGCAGGATTTTTTAAAACAGCTTACAAGCATGTATGTTAAACAATTAACAACACAAAAAAATTAGATTGGCTTGGTAGCGATCACGTTTACCAGGGGTCATTATCATCCACAAATAATATATAACATGAGCGAATGATACCTTTCCTTTCTCAGTATCATAATACATCTGCTACATTGACGTGAGTAGGAATCTATTAAAATCCTGTTGAAAACCTATCTAACTAGTAATACGCTACGCCAATGTAATTTTAGTAAAGCCAGAGGAAGAAAGAGGAAACAATCCTTGTAAAGCGAAAGTCAAGGTGCTCGTGGGTATAACTCACGTGTCCGAACTTGTGGTAGATGAGGAACTCCTCCTCGGAATGAGAGATGTCGGTGCCGCGCCATCTCGAGAAGCGGGAGCGGAATGCGTCTCGGACCGAGGATGTGGAGCCGGTGCAGTTGACCAGGATCAAGCCCAGCAGCCGGCGCGGGTGCGCGAGGCCGCAGCGCGCCAGCACGTTCGCACCTGCGCCCTCGCCCAGCCCCACCGCGTACTGCACTTGCAGGAAGTCCAGCACCGTCGTCACGTCTTCACCCAGCGTCTGCAGCGACGGGAACGGGTAGCTGCAAAACACCTTGAAATCTTAACCAAAAGAGAAATAATATAAAAATGAAAACATAATAATAAATGTCGTACGGTGAGTGTAGGGAACCGTAGACCCTATTTACTGGAAACTACTGGTATCCATTCTTATTCGAGGATAAACGTAGATGTTTTTTATAGAAGAGTGGGGCAAATCCAGCATGCAGCTCAACTGACGGCAAGTGTACCTACCGTGGTGTTACTACCGCCGCCCATGAACAACTACAACACGAGCGGAATTTCAGGAATTTCGAATGCGTTGCCGGATATTTAAAAAAGAGTAAATAGCCACTTTTCTTAAAAGTCCCTAAGTCTATGGGCCACAGCTTCCACTTTCTATCAGGTGGACTGTTTTCGTTTTCACTTAAAAAAAACTTTTTTCGTTTTAACTTTTCACTTATATAAAATAAAAACAAGTATCCCGTTCACCTATTGGTATGTGAATGTACCCCAAATACACGTGTCAAACGAAACGTGTATTTGTAACGTGTAACGCCACTCACCTGTAGGTAAGTGACTGCCGCCGCACATAAAGATCTAGAACACCAGAGAAATAACAGATACGTTGCCAGCCTTTTAAAAAAGAGTGGGCTCTTTTTTAAAAGAGCTGGCTGGCTGACTGGCTTTTTGCCGAAGTCATTGGACCATAGCATCCACTTTTCATCATATAAACTGTATATCATTGTCACCTTATCCTATTAAAAAAATAACTATCCTGTTCACCTATTGATATGTTTTTTATGGAATAGAATTACAAACGAGCACGCAGTCCACCTGATGATAATTGGATGCTGTGTCTCATCGACATCTACATTTTTTTTCGATTAAGGATCAAAATGCAGATGCGTTGTCACCCCTGAGAACTAAGGTGAAATGCCTAGTTTACAGTAAAAGGATCTCCGGTTCTCTACACTAACCATACAAAACACAGCGGCATTGAGCTGCTATTTTACGCTGGTATTCTATGAGAGCGTGGTCCTACCCTAATCGAGCTGACCCGTTCGTGCTACCACTATAATAAATTTGCAGCGTGGCTCCACCAGTGTCGGATTAAGCAAGTGGGGCCAATAGTAAATTGTATCGAGGGGCCCTTGATCTGCTGTCCTTAAGTATAAAGTGGTAAAAAACAATTCAATACTCATTACGTTTATTTTCCATCTATAGGTTACAAATGTTAGACTTCAAGTAAGAATTCAAGTTATAATCAATTCATGTTAAATCGTTTTCAATTACTACACGAACAGAAGAGAATAGTTTTAATCCCAATGTAGAATGGTAATCATTACATCTACATCTATCTGCAATTAAAAACATAAATACAAACTCGTTACCACTCTCGTCGACAAAGATTATATGTCTCATTTCTAGAAAAAAGGATCTCCGGTTGTCTACACTCACCACAACACAGCAGCTCCTTAAGAGCTTGTGAGAGCGTGGTCCTACCCCGGTCGAGCCGGCCCATTCATGCCAACACCATAATATATCTGTAGCGTAGTTCGTTTACGTTTAAAATATATCGAAATTACTGTAATAACTTACTAAAGAAATTAAAACGCAAATAAACGCAGCAATATACGCGTGCACACTACTTTTTGTAGAGCCGATTTTTCGATTTTTACGAGCGGTTTATGTAGAACTTATGCGTCTACCGTATGAAAATCTGTGTTTTATTTTCGCCAAGTAAATTAACGGTTACCGATTGTTTAGCGTGGATTGTCTTGGTCGAAATAGGTATAAAGTTTCACATTTTTGTGACATCAAGCAAATTCAATATACCACGTCTTTATATAAGTTTCACTCAAAAAATTACGCTCATACAGAGGTGGGCATGTTTAAATTCGCGGGGCCCCCTTTTACACGGGGCCCGTAGCAATTGCTACTGTTGCTTTGTGAATAATCCGGCACTGGGCTCTACCACGTAAATGTTAACGTTTTGGCAACAACTATCATGTGTCATCGATTAACCCACTCCTTGTCACTAGTAATAATATACATATATAATTTGGTTTAAGAATTTATTTATCAAAATAATTACAATAGAATTAACTTAAAGAGAATTATAATAATTTGAAACAGTAAGTACATTCGAGTACACACAATTATCATAGAATTACAAATATTAACATCTAGTTCCCAAATACAAAAAACTACAATATAAAAACTAAATGAGACTTTAATTGTACAATGGAATTAGATAACAGTTTGTCTAGAAGTGACAAAGTGTGCGTACTTAGCTTATTTAACGCTATAAGTATATAACAAGTTCTATATATTTTATTCAAAACTATTTAACATTAACCTATATCTATCTATGTATATAAAATCAATTGGTGTTCGTTTGTCTCCCTAAAACTTGAGAACAGCTGGACCGATTTGGCTAATTTTGATCTTGAAATATTAGTGGAAGTTCAAGGAAAGTTTAAACGGTGGGAAACATAAATCACAAGTGACACAAGATAGTAAAAACAACAATTTCGTTTTCAATACAAAATGTTCCTAGCTGTGAAATGAGATCCGATCTCTTTAGTCTGTTCCTAGCTGTGAAGTGAGGCCCGATCTCTTTGGTATGTTTCTTTCAGAAATAAAAAAGTGTAAAAGTGTCAGTTAGTTGTCAAAAAATAAAATTAAATTAAGACAATTAAGGGGAGTTTTGGCGGGAACCTGGCCGTAGACGGATTGTTGCTCCTGTTTTGTTGCTTGAATAATGGTTTGAAGTGGATTTTCATTCGTAAAAGTGATGTGATTTTGTGAATTAAGTATCCGCGCGTGTGAACTATTAGAGAAAACGACGAAACAAGTGCTTTGATGTCGATGTAAACCTCAAGTTATTTTGATCGCTTCGGCGCCTTATGAACTTGAGTGGCAGTCGTCATCAACTGTCTAGGCTAGGTTGAGCTGTTGTCAAAATCTCCCAAGGGCTTCGCAATGTGACGCATAAGCATATGGTGAAGAAAAAGAACATAAAATGAAGATTCCAAAAGAAAGGATAAGCTCAGAAGGTCTAGAAACCATAGCCGTAAAGCCAGTTAATAAAATAAAAAAGACGATTAATAAAATCTATCACCACCTTGTCAGTGCGCGAGAACTTTTTTATTGTTTTAAAATGTCATGGAGAAGACGACCTGACTTAGGTCGTCGAAGTCAATGAAATATGCGACAAGCTTCGTCACGTTACCGCGCTGACGACCAGCGAGAAACAAATAATAATAACATTGAATTGTGAATTTGTGTGTATGATTGTGCTGGTAGTATAGCAGAATTGCCACAATTAGTTCTACCACAATATCCATTACTCTCATTAGTTTCTGAGTTAGGAAATGACTCTAAACATTTCTTGGCCAACGTCTAAAAATATGACAATTGCTTTCAAATGACGTCGTTTGGCGCAACGCATATTTTACAGGAAAATTTCATGCCTACTTTCAAGGTTTAAGTACATCATAATTGTTTTTGATAAATAATTTATCAAAACAAATAATTTAAAAAGATCATTTACAATTGCAGATACAAGCACAAATTTGTCACCTACTGGGAGCGCTGCTGTCGTTGCCAGATCATCAATTCTTGTAAATTTATTTTATGGGCAATCAAGATGCGGAAGTTGATAGGCGTTATGCTCATAATCCAATAGTGAAGCGAAGCATTGTTCAAAAACTGCAAATATTTCTTCATCAGTACAATGACTTAGTCAAAACTTTCAAAATGGCGTTGCATCGGATGCCATCGGACAGACATAATATCGTCATTAAAGCTGACAAAACTCCTACTGGTGAGTATGCAAGGAGGTTTAATTCTTCGACAATCGACAAAGTGCCTATTATTGTTGTTGGAGAAAATTTTCAGTCTAGAGATATTGTGCTTCATCGTCGGAACAATGTTTTAAAACGTGTGTCTGAAACGTTTAGAGTTTATGACGCGATAAGATGGATACCATTTTAATATCAAAATGGTTGATCAAGTTACAGGTAACAAGATTAAACAATATTAAATAATAATTTTTAAAATTAAATATATCTTTGTAATTGTCAATCAATTTACATTTCCAGGTGCTTAAACTAACAAAAAAAAAATACGTGTGGCACTCGGTGACTGCCGCGGTAAAGCATTTCATATGTATTGCAAGTCTTCGATATTAAATCAAGTTATACTTTTTGAGCATGGTGACCGATAAGAAAACAATTTTTTTCTCTTATTGAATAAATGAGAAGTTAATATTGTTTAAAATATTTTTAATATCTTACAATACATGTAGGTTATTCAGGAATTTTTATAATTGAGTTAGCAGCTAGTGTACACGCATACGTCTAGTCGCACGCACACAAACACCGTGCCGAAGTCTGCCGAGTGCCGAAGTCTGCCGAACTGAAACGACGTTAGACGATGCACGGCTTTCAACGCCACACCTCCGTGCCTGTCGGAGTGGGGAGCGTGAGGTTTTTTTCGTTACGGAATTTCTGGATTCGGTCCCCGCGCTCAAAGCCCGCGATAGAAGCTATGCAATAGCTTAAAAGTTAGTGCCATGAATTTTTATTCATATAGAATCATGATCCGTGAAGGTGAAATAAATCATATTTTTTTATATATATAGAAGAGAGGGCAAATGAGCATGCGGCTCACCTGATGTTAAGTGACTACCGCCGCCCATGATCAACCGCAACACCAGGGGAATTGCAGGTGCGTTGCCGGCCCTTTAGAAAGGAGTAAGCTCTTTTCTTGAAGGTCCCCAGGTCGTATCGGTCCGGAAAAATCGCCGGTGGTAAACTGTTCCACAGAGAGGTTGTACGCGGAAGAAAACTCCTTTTGAAACGTACAGTGGTGGACCGCCAAGCATCCAGATGGTGTGGATGGTATCGGGACGTTTGCCGCGTAGTGCGTTCACGAAATTTGGCGGCTGGGATTAATCCGATCAATTCCTCAGAGCACTCTCTATGGTATATGCGAAAGAAAATGCAAAGAGATGCAACATTTATTCGCAGTGCCAGTGAATCGAGCCGATCGGAAAGCACTCGGTCGTCGACGATTCGAGCCGCTCTGTGCTGGATGCGGTCAAGTGGAATCTCTGGCTGTAAAGTCATGGCTAACGAGTAGTGTTTGGCTGTATAGCAATTCCTTTTTGATTTCTATCCATTGTGGACTACAGGTGTATGTAATGAATAGGTCTGGGCGGCCATATTGTTTAACATTCAACATCGCATCTTGCGCGTACTCGTGCATGTGATGCGGGCTTCCAATTTAAGTGGCTGTCAAAGTTGTCATTCTTCCGACATTATGTATGTTGCCATCGACATTAATAGCATCACGGAGATGAATGTATTCTTCAGATCAAAGCTGCCGTTAGTTCAGATAGATGCATGTACGTCAATTGCTCAGTCTCAATTTTAACATTAATGTCTACTGCAAACTTATGAAAACGGCGTTGACACATCAAAATATGATTTATTTCACGGATTCTTCACGGATCATGAGTCTTTATGAATAAAAACTCATTACACTAACTTTTTTGTTGGTTTTAATAAATCGCAACGTCAGTCATTGAAAATTTGCGTTTCAACTTGGAGTTTACTTGTTTCGCGCATGGGCACATCGCGTATTCGCGAGTAGGAAAACCATCATCTTTATGTCTTTTTTTGCGTTGCGTATTAAACCATCATCTTTATAAATTGGAGGATGATGGTTTACTACGCACCGCAAAAAGACAAAAAATATTGTATGTCACAAAGCTTTAAATTGATTAAGTGTATCTAACTGTGTTACATTTAATGTAAATAAAAATTTTGTATTAAGTTTTGACATTACTTTTTACAAACATATGTGGGTGATATGAAGTTCACCGGATCGTCTTGTATTGAATAAAAATGATTTCAATGTATTCTCATATTTAGTTTATTCTTCTTAAATTCATGAATACATATTTTTTAAAGAAAGTGAGTGACAAATGAGTATACAGTCTATCTGATAAATTGTGGATTGTGTGAGTTATATACATCATCATCTATCCTCGATTCAGAATCAAAATACAGCCTGTATTTTAATTCATTATCACCCCTGAGGACTCATATGGAATGTCTCGTTACCAGTAAAAAATATCTCCGTTTCTTTACACTCACCATACGAAACACAGCAGTATTATTATACTGTTACACATTGTTATTCTGTAAGAGCGTGTACTCCGACCAATTCGTGCAGAGGCCACATGTATCTGCGTCGTGACTCTACCACGTAATATTTTAATGACTTACGACTCTGGCAGATCCGGCGAGTTCTCTTCGTGTCCCGGCACGTCCACGTGTATGAAACACGACCGCTCCTTGATCTCTGACATTGCGGGACTGTTCACAAAGTCCACCATCGACGAGTCTGTGAAAGACCAGACTATTTGTAATGGGAACTGTAATATAGATTGACGTCATCACCTTTTTTATACGAGAGGGGGTAAACGAGCATGCGGCTCACCTTATGGTAAGTGACCTGCTTGCTGGAGCTCTTGCGACCACCTATTAATGAATAATTTATTCCATACATCAATTACAGCCTGTAAAAGTTCATTGCTGACCATATACCTCCTCTCCCACAAATTGCCTCATGCGGAGGATATTGCCGGAGTTGCCACGCTTAGCAAGTGGTCTAGCAATTTAGGTTTTATTATTTTGAATTGCTATCAGGAAGATTTGTCCATCTTCATTTTTTTTATTTTATTTAAAAATACTAAGATTTTCTCCTGTATCACGGATACTGTTTAAATACATGAATTGCAGTAGGTTACCCTACATCTCGACCTGGAACCATTATTTGTAGGCCATACAAATACTTGATGTGAGCAGGATTCCGCGACCCTGGGCACGGTAACTCAAAGTAAGCTAATGCTAATAACACGCGGGTATTGTAGGCAATAAATTTGCCGACAAACTCGCACGAGAGGGCTCAAAGAGTACACAATTTGGACCCGAGCTATTTTGTGGAACCCCAAAAATCCTAGCCCGATTGACCATTGAAACTTTTTATTACAATAAATCACTTAATATCTGATCTGACATACCAGGCTTAAAATATTCTGAAACCTTAATCGGGGCCTTTGATCTTAAATTCGCTTCAGAAGCCCTGGGATTAAGTAAATTGCGCATTCTGGTATGAGCCCTAACTGAACACTGTTACCTTGTTACCACATGTGCATCCTGGGACTAAGCAACTTAAGAATATGCACATCCTAACTGATTGCGTACTCTTAATGCGCAAATGTAACACTCATCTGGGAAGTTATGTACTCCGCCCAGAAGAAGTGAAATTGCTCATAGTTAAGCAACTCCTTATATTCATTGTAGACATAGAACTTAACAGTGAACTATAGCCATACCAGCGACCACAATAGATCTTTTTGGTCGCAGTGATACTGGTCCTTTTCCCTAGACCTGCATAACCTCTCGCAAATAAAAAAGTCCTCCAGGCTTAATTTCGATCACGACTTTTAGTCTAAAGTCACAGATTAAATATATTCAAAAGTGAAAATACCTACGTTGTAATAGCTTACAAATTTTAGATGTTAACTGCAACCAGAGATAGCTTTTGCACGCGTACTGAAAGTTAAGAACTCTGCCCATTGCGCGACCATCGTATGGCTGCATCATCGAGCGAATGCGCAAAGATCGTACCAAGATGATGAAATAAATAAAAGACTAAACATAATTATTTTGTTTGCACTGATTTGCATGTGATAATCAAATATGTTTGGGTTTTACATTGAGTTATAATGTACTACGTACTAGAGAAGCTATTCCAAACAAAAATTGTGCGCTACTTCTATGTCTTCGCGCATGCGCGGTAGTAGTAGAGTCGCGCATGCGCAGTTGGTATAAACGCGCTTTGCGCTTGCGCGGTCAGTTTTTGTTATTATAGATTATACGTAAGTAGAATGGTCAGTATGTAATAATTGTTTATTTATATTGTATTCTTAATTATATCGAGTACTTACAATTTTTTAAATTGTTTTTTATTTTGTATATGTGCTAATTTAATATAATATTACATAATATTATCTCAGAATTACATTTTGATGATATTGTTATCTGAATATTTTAAAAGGTATCTATGTCAAATATAAAAAAACGTACTAAATGTATGTTTAACAAAACTTATTAACATAAAATTTAAATTACAAATATATTTATTTAAATTAGAATCATAAATGTTGTAAATAATCGTTCATAAATGCTGGGCACGCGAAAGTTAAAAATGGACGAATTTATTCCACTTTGACTTTGAAGTGGAAACCTAAAAATAAAATAAAAGAATAATAAGCAGATTTAAACATGAAAAATTTAGCTTAATTATAATAACTTATATGTTTCTACAAAAAAAATGTGTAGTATAATAATATATTCGTCCTAAACTTAAGTACCCACAGAAATGTCGCATCTGAACATATTAATTTCATAATCTATATTCAATGATACGAGATGGCGTCTTAGGAATAATTTGCTTTATTATTAATTTATAATACTTTTTTATTGAATAAGTATCTTATTAACCGATGAAAAGTAATTCCTTGGTTTTTACTGACATTTCTTGAATTATTTGTGCAATATCTAAGTACACAAGACGGCATATTTTTATCAAGAGATTTTTTTTTAAATCAACACAACACGTGACAACTCTACAAGCGCCTAGCGAGTGACTGATTAAAGTGCAGTGCATGCACCGCAGTTGAGTGGAACAGAGTAGCTGAATGCAGTGTCTCCTCTAGTACGTAGTACATAATAGCTCAATGGAGTTTTATAAAATGATAATTAGCTCTATTTCCTTCTGTGAATTTTCTGTTAGCAAACTTAACCTTACCGATACTTGTACCCTCGGGTGTGTACCAAAGTCTCGCGTGGTGAATTGCTTAAAACTTTTAAGCATTTTATTGGCGAAGTGATTAAAGTTAGTTTGCGGTTGTTTCGAACCGATTTTTGATAAGTTTGTATTACGTTGTTTAACACATATGCACTATATTTAGTTCAGTTTTGTTTATATTTCTCATATATTCTTCCTAATTTGGGGGGACGTAAATTTAATGATTTCTTATATTTACGCAAGGGCTACATATTTAAATAATACTAGTTTTACGTATTTTATCGCGTATTTTAACTTATTTTATATTCCTGACGTTAAGAGTACTTTACAGCACCCATGGTCACGAGGGGACCGAGGTGTTCGACGTCCCACTGTCATAGTTAACCACGACTACCTCCAGATTAAAACTATTAATTTTTGTTCCAATCTATGAACTTTAATATAACTTATTATAAGTTGTTATCTTGAATTCTTGTAGTTGTATGCTTGGGTTTGGATTTAATTTTATTAATTATAGGATTTAAAAAAATTAGGATGTTTTTTTTTAATTTCAATTGCCTCCCAAATCATTAGAAGGAATCGGTGTTCTTTAGCGGCGATTTATGGTCTTCCAAATCTATGGCAAACAAGAGAACACACAAAGGATTCCTACCATTTTATCAACGAGATTAAAGATCTACATCTGGCAGACAATGAAACTATGGTCAGTTTTGATGTACAGTCATTGTTCACATGCTTATACCTGTTGAAGACTGCATCTGAATTGTAACTAGAAGGCTGGAAAAAACAACATGCCCGTAGAATATGCAGTACTACTCAGACATTGCCTAACATCTGGCTAACTATTGTGAAAGAAGGAGTTCTACAAGCAAGTAGATGGTGTAGCGATGGGCTTACCTGTATCTCCCATTGTCGCCGACATATTCATGGAAGACTTTGAGGAAAAAGTCCTGCTAACTTCTCCCGTAAATCCCAGATTCTATTAACGGTATGTAGACGACACTTTCACAAATATTCCTATTCATCAAGTAACTACATTTTTTGTCTATCTTAACTCCATAAACTCTAAAATTCAGTTCATAATGGAGTTGGAAGCAAAAAAAAATTTTAGCTTTACTAGACCTGTTAGGGAATTCTGATAACACCTTGAGGCGCACAGTGTATGAAAAAAAGACCCATGCAGATAGATATATTTTGTAAAGATATATATATATATATATATATATATATATATATATGTATAGTGTAGTGTATATAGTGTTGTAGGATCTTTTTATACCGTGATTTTTGCAAATAAAAATTTATGATTTATATTCAAACAGTGATTCTCACCACCATCCATCAAATTAGCTACCGTGGGTAAATCTTCGTTTCAGAGAGCTCAAGGGATCTGTGACAGTAAACACCTGGCTGCCGAGCTCCAACACGGCAAGGAAGTTTTAAATGACAACAAGTTTCGAGTTTCGGGTTCCGTGCCTACGTCACAGTGAACGAGTGAAACCGACCACAGTCGAGCATGTGCCTGCTGTACTGCCATATATCAGAGGTGTCACTGGCAAGATTGGCTACATCTTGAAGCGCGCTTACATTAAAACATATTTCAAGCCGCCAAAGAAAATTAGTCAGTTTTTACCATCAGTCGACTGTAATCTCTCTGCAAGATGCAGAAGTGTATAAGTTTGATTATGAATGTGATCTCTCTTACATAGGACAAACAAAAAGATGAATATAAACCCGTGTTTACGTGTTACGCTCCGGGAAATCTGCAGTCTGTGTACATGTATAGGATCGCCCCCGTCACTACATCAGATTTGATAGACTACAAATCCTCGCTAAAGAACACTCATTCCTACCAAGAACGATTCACGAGGCTATAGAAATCTAAAAAAAATCCTAATTTCAATAGAAAAGATGGATGGGTACAGCCATCTGCTTGGGATCCTTAATTTATAAAATTAAATCCCAACCCAAGCATACAACTGTAAGACTTCAAGATACTACGAGTATAAGTACGTACTGCGTAGATCGGAACAAAAATTAATATCTGGAGTTAGCCGTGGTTAACTATGACATTGGGAAATCGTCAACACTTCATTCTCCCCATGACCATGGGTACTGTAAATTGCTCGAAATGTTGGGAATACAAAATAAGATAAATCGATAAAATCCATTAAAACTAGTTTTATTTAGACTTAAATTTAATTTTTAGTTTAGCAGTATCACATATTAAATTGGCGTGACTCCTATAAGTTAAAGATATTTATTTTATTTTAAAAACTTTATTGCCTCTCCTTAGAAAAAAAAAGCATAAAAAGGACGGACTTAATGACTAAAGGCATTCTTTACCAGTCAACCCATGGAGTGGTGAGAGTTTGTCGTAGGTGTAGCAATTAAAGGAAAAAAAATAGACTAAAATTAATACACATTATATGTAACAAAACAGATTATGATATAATATTCTAAGTAAATGCGTATATATACCTACATATATATATATATATACACATATATTTCATTTCATTCGTACATTTACATATAATTTTATTAATATCATTTTCTATCTGTTAAATTAAAATAATATGAACACTACATCACCTAATACAATCCTAATAATATAATAAGATAATTGTTAAATTTTATAGCAAATAAGTGTAGTCCTTACGCTTAGCTAGGTAGAGTTTTATTTGAATGTATTCCATTTTAATGCGTCATTCTTACATTATTTTATAACGAAAAAATTGGTTGACACTTGACTCCCAAGGCTACAGTATTACGTAAACTACATAATTGATGGCCTAAACGCATTGAGTTATATATTACTAAACGCCAATAATCTAATAAAAAACGCTAAGTCATGTAATAGTGAATGATAATTTTATTTATTTACCTAATATATTTGTTATTTAATTTTAATTGTTCATTTCAATATTTAAAATTAAATTGTAAAACATAAATTAAAATTAATTAAATTATATGTTTAAAGCGTGCGGCACCTACCCTGACCCTGACACTTGTACTCCCAGAACCAGGAAGTGACGGAGCCCTGCTAAAGTGCATACGATTTTTCCATTCTCTCATAGTGCGATAGGACGGACCAACGCGACGGGAGAGAGATCAAAGGCAGGACCAACGGCTTTACGTACATTTCGAGGCACGGAGGTGAAACACCATGAACTTATAAGCCCCGCACGTTGATATTGCGATGGAACCTTGTCACAATAACAGCTACGTTACGTAATCCACCGCAGATAGTACAGACAACAAAAAAGTTAATCTTCTTTTCGTGTAAGGTGTTACCACCTCTGGTGAAAAAAGTTAATAACCTAGGGTTATAGGTATTTATATTATCTAAATATATTTACAGGTATTTTATTATAAATATTTCCAATTAAATTACCTACTAATATAATAAACGTGAAAGAACCTTGTCTGTTTTTCATTAAACCTCTCAACCAATTTTAATGGACAATTAATAAATAAAACCAAATATTAAATAATCGATGTTTATTAATGCAATTTAATAATTCTAGACTAATTCTTCAATTTCACTCATATTATCATCTAAATCAGAACTTGTTTCTGAGTCCGTTGTATCAGATTCACTGTTGTCTGTCGATTTAAAATTTTTAAATTTTAAATTTATGTCCGTCACAAGTTGCTTTGAAATTAACATGTCTTCAGTAGTATCCGAAGCATTTCAGCACGGTTTATATTTTGAATCAATATCTTAGAGTGCTCTTTCTCTTTTAAAAATAATTGTCCACTTTAATAATCATTTCATGAGCACGGCTGTTAGTTACTTTCTTACTCATTGTAACAGAAAAGTATGATAACAATAACAAAACTTAACAACAAAAACAAAACAGGATAACGAAAATAAAGAGCTATAAAAACATATGGTAGAGGTAGGTACTCTATAAGACTAAGGCCGGCCACATACATACGGAATCCCGAAACGGGATTTTGTTTCGGAATTCTGATTCGGGATTCCGTGCATACATCACACATACGTTTTTTTTTCGTTCGGAATATCAAGGCTCAGTTGAGGGATGCCAGCCATTGAGTACAGACATTCAGCCAGCGAATATGGATGACAATATTGCGATTGCATTGTTGCTGTATCTAACCAAGAAGAAAACATATTGCCACCGTTACTGGGTGCATCCCCTTAACACCCTTTTATGTAAAAAGAGCGAAATTACGAGCCTATCCAGATTTTTTTTTAAATACTATGGGATGTCTATAACCTCTTTCGACAAATTATTTCTTTTATTACATCATTTCCTAGTGATGAGTTAGAGGGAACAGTAACTGGGATGCAAGAATCATGTTGAGCGTAAAGTAAATTAAGTGTAATATTTGACAGATTTCATAGCGGCGAAGTTACATAATTTGTTCGAAAAATGTAAAGGATAATATTTGTTTTTGTACTGTTAGTTATATTTTATATTAATTAGATTAAAAATAAATAAACCAAACCACGGTACGGGAGGTATTGTTTTGTGTTTTATTATAATATTCTAGAAACTGATAAACTTTTATTTAAAACTCTCTTCTCAATTAAATGACATTATGTAACAAACTGACAGAATAAGAAAACTGACAAAGAACTTCTGCAGTTCCTCTGAACCGAGCTGCTATATTTTTCTCCCACCAGAGTCCTATATCAGTCTTCGGAGAACTATGTATGTAGGTAATATGAAATTAATAAGCTTTCCTTATGTGGGTCTCAACAAGTATTCTTCATGATGAAAAATATAATCTTCCATACTAGATCACCCATGCACTTCGGTCGTGCGACCCACAGTGGGTGCATTCCGTACGGAATTTACGAACGAGTGACGCCACTCTTACAAAATCTGTGGAAGACTTGCGTTCGGAGCGACTTTTTCGAATACGAAATCTCGAATTGAAGAAAATTCCGTACGGAAAAATACCGTACGTGTGTATCATTGATTTTATATGGACTTGCTGCGTTCGGAATCCCGAATCGGAATTCCGTATGTATATGGCAGGCCTAAGCGCTGGCTGACCTTGCGAACGGTACTGACAGTTCGACTACGTCGCTAAGATGGCTGCCAGTCAACGTGCGGGGCTTATACCCCGGGCAGCTGCAGACAATTTTTTGACAAAAAGTCTCAACAAACTGACTTTTTGTCCAACTCGTGAATCAAACGCGGAATCACATGATCAGCAGTCCCGCTTACGATCACTAGACAAACAAGTCAGTAAGCAACAAAAGTACAATTTTTTTAATGATTTACCTTCAAGTTATTACATTAGAAATGACACTCTTGAATTCCGAAACAATTTAAAAAGTAATATCAATTGTCTTACATATTACTAGCGGTAATATCACTTTATTGGTGTTATTACCTGGCGCCATATTTAAGGACTCTGTTATCCATGCATTACTTTACATTAATTTACTCCGGATGTACGAAAATTTGTTGATAATTATCATAGCCAGTATAATGCACATTGTGTTTTGTTTTTGTGTTTCTACTATTATAAGTGGGTACTCAAAAAAAAACTATGTTTCCAAATGCTTTTTGTGCATACGTACACAGGCACAGTTGTTGTATATGCAGTGTAAATATAAGCACAGGTACGGCCTATATACGTTCCACACCCAGGCAAAATCCTCCTCTCAGTTTTGAGAGTGTTTTGGAACAAGAAAACCACCGCGCTGCCCCAATGCGTGTTGGCACTTACATTTTTATTTCTTAGACATGCAGATTTCCTCAAGAGGTGTTCCTTCACCGGCTCGCACATGGTTAATCACCACTTAAAACGGAAATTAACAATTACACTGATGCTGGCGGGGATAGAACCTCGATTGCTCGCATGTTGTGAAATTTACAACTTGCGCTTAGCCCCTAAGCTACCAAACTACACTCATTAAATAACACATTAACCCTACTGTATAATCGTTCACTTTGTTTAAATATATTGAGCTGTAATACAAAGTGTTTTCAATCAAATTGAAAGTGTCAAATGAACTTTCAATCCGCCTAAAGGTAAGGTTAAGGTAGTACCCATGGACACAACACGCTTGAAACTAACTCAAAACGAACAGAGGCTCTGAGGGCAAATATGGAATGCGCCACAGCCTGCAGACTACTAGGAAGAAAGAACATAAAACCTAGTAACTAGTACAGAGAAATTTAGAACCTAAACTAAATTAATGACTTAGTGAAAGCTTAGTTTAGATTACATATTTCCTACAAAACATGCTTCCTTACCGGCCAGTAAGAGGCTGAAGTGGCAACAGGCCGGCCATAGAGCTCGAAGAATCGACCACAGAGAGATATGAAGGCTTTTAGAGGTTCAGCCTCGTACCGGTAACGAAGGGTGGTGAAATGATGAAATGACAACTTGGTAAGACATGCATGAAGTCAACGGATGCAAGTAGATCAGTATCGTGTTTTGTGGTACTCCTTAAGAAAATTATATTAAGCGGTGGATTTGTGAATGGCTGCAATGATGTTGATGACGATAATAATAATAATAACCGCTCCGGGCTCAAATGCAGAAGGCGGTGCTCCTCGATACCGCCCGCATGGTCCGCCGGTTTCTTTCCCTTTCCCCCTAACCCTCGGCCGTTTGGTCTCCCCTGCCGAGGGCCTCCATCTGGTTGGGCTTTTATTTATTTATATACTTTTATATTTATTTTATGTTATTGATATTTATGTATATTTATCTTTTCATTTTCATTTATAATTATATAGGTATTTATAGAACCCAACCAGATGACAAAACTATATACCTAGATACCCCACAATAATAATAATGTATGTGTTCTTATTAGAGAACCTTTTGTTCTATATTCTGAGATCTAGTGTATAAATTTCCAAAAAAAAATTCCTACTGTTAATCAAGGAAAATGACAAATGAGAAATAGAACTTACGGTTGGTGCCTAGGTCGTGGACTGTGAGGAACACGCATCTCCTGTCCTGTTGGCTCAAGTCTCCCTGTAATTTGAATGAAGTTTAAACTACGATGCGTTCTAATTAAATCCTGATTTTATATCGTATTGGTTACATGTTTCTGTTTTTATAGAATAAGGGTGACAAACGAGCACTCAGTCACGTGATAGTAAGTGGATGATGTAGCGCATAGACATCTACACTTAACTATCTCTGAGGACTAAGATGGAATGCCTCATTTCCAGTAAAATAGGTCTCCGGTTCTCTATACTCATCATACGAAACACAGACAGCCCCGGTCGAGCCGACCATTCGTGCTACAACTACGAGTATACTACAAATATAGCTGCAGCATAGCTCTACCACGTAAAAAATTGAATTGAAATGAAATGCTTACAATTTAGTTTAATAGCATAAAATATAGCTTCTTTTTTCTCTTTACATAGCCTTGCTCCCAGCAGTATTGTGCTAAAAACACTATCTGCGTTTTTTCCCTCTACCCAGTTCTAATTATACGCCTTTCTAATAACGCCTTTCTAATTATACACACGCCTAATTCCCTTTCCTATCTAATTTATTCGTTATTTAAATTACTGAAACAGCAATGTTTATGGTCGGTACCCAACATATATTTTTATTTAAACTTTTTATTTAGATTCCATTGTCAAGTTGTACACAGATATGGACTGAGCATTACACTCATCTTTGTACGAACTTTTAACTTGGCACCTGTCTGCTTAGTTGTGGGTCTATGAATCAAACCCCCAGCAAATTACCCAGTAATTCTACCCTGTGCTTAATCCTTACTACGATCATTTCCCGTAAGCACTATATGTATCTAGCAAACAAGAGGGATGAAAATAGTTGTATGCGCCGTTACGCAACTAAAATATATATAATTTTTCATAATTCACGCAGTTAATCTAAACTTGTCGCAGTGCTAAAGTATGCTGAGAAGACATCTTCATTGATTAAAAGTAAGAACTATAGCTATTAGACACTAACGCATGATTTACTTACCTGGTTACGCTGGGGGATCACCCCCTAATTGCAGCGTGAAATAGGAAATTAAACACAAATATTAATGTAAAATGAAAGTCACTCAGCGAGCTATGGAGAGGCCGTGGTGGAGTTTCTCTGCATGATAGACTTCGTAATGATATCCACATTAAAATCAGAGTAAACAACAAAGCACAACGGATGAGTGTGCTGAAGTGGCAATGGGTCAGTCATATAGCTCGAAGTGTATATGTCCAATAACTTGTATGTTTGGGGGGGGGGGTTCAAAATTGGCTTGAAATTGTTCGTTTAAATATACAACGCTGCCGGTGCGTCGTTCTTTTCTTTTCGGAACTTTACTGACATACTGCCGTGCATATAGACTCAAGCTTAATGATTTTAGAGGTGGTGACTTTATAGCCTAGACTCATGTTGCAGCAGTTGAAGAACGTTGTGAGACCCCTGTTTCAAATACAACATAGAAACTCGAATAAGAATCAAAATGCAGGTGCTCTGTCACCAAAAGGACTAAGATGGAATGCCTCGTTGCCATTAAAAAGGTTCTCTGGACTCCCAACTTACCATACGAAACACTGCAGCATTAAATGTTGTTTCACGCTGGTATTCCGTAAGGGCGTGGTCCTACCCCGGTTATACCGACCAATTCATACTACAATCATAATAAAGCTCTAGCGAGGCTCCACTACGTACTGGAAGACTAATTGTAACGATGAAACATTATTTTGCAACATTTTAAATTATTTTTATTGATCATCATCTTCATCATCATAATTACGGCCCTTCACAATTCCACTGCGGAACATATGCCTCCCCAAAGGAATGCTAGAAAGCACGGTGCCGAGCCACCAGTATATTATTTTTATCAAAGAATATTAATGTCCTCCAGACCGAATTTCGGTCATGGAAGTCAGCCTCAACGGAGACTAGCCATCGGCGCAGAACAGGATTATAGAGCCCAAGTGGAGGCGCAAGCACAGGTGCGCTCTCTATTCCTTCACTCTCGTAGTCCGATGAGATGGTAAGCCGACACGATGGAGAAAGATCAGACGCAGGATCAACGGCTTTAGGTACTTTCCGTGGCACGGGGTTGCGACAACGCCAACTTCCTGACTCCGGGCAGCTACTGAAAATTTCTTGACAGAAAAACTCAAACACCGATTTTTTGGCCTCATGACCTCTTGATCAGCAGTCGTGGAACAAAATACAATGTAAACAAATTAAAGATTACAGCTGTATGAATATAATAGTGGAATTGTTTCACTTCTATATTTAGTCAGGTTATAATTTATTGAATGGATAACTGTTATCTGACAAGTGAAGAATAAGCCCCAAGTATTATAACATAGCTGCTAGTAATTAACATTGACCCACCTGAACATGAACATGTATGTCCCCACTGCGGTCAGTACTGACAACGTATTTCTGGAACAAACAGAAACATACTTATGTTATAGTCATATACTTAGCCACGTGTTAGAGTTCTCAAACGATAGCCTCGCACTAGCAAGAGCAGGGTTGGACGCTCGTCCCTCTCCCCCCACCGCATCACTAGATGGAGGGGCGGGCTAATGAAACCCGCAGGTAGACGATGGAGCAGGTGACTCAGGATCGTACTTTGTGGCAAACTATGGGGGATTTCTATGGTCAAGTGTGGACTATTTTTATAGGATAAGGAGACGAGCACACAGTCCACCCGATGGCAAGTGGATGCTACGCCCCATAGACATCCACATTTAACCTCGATTAAGAATCAAAATGCAGAAGCGCTGTCACCTTTGAGGACTAAGATAGATTGCCTCGATTCCAGTAAAACGGGTCTCCGATTTTCTACACTCACCACACCAAACACAGCAGCATTAAGCTGCTATTTTACGCTGGTATTCTGTCAGAGCGTGGTCCTTCCCCGGTCGAGCCGACCCATTCATGTTGCAACCATAATTGCAAGTAAAGTTAAGATACCTATTAAATGTAAAGTGAAGTGATCCACTTGTGGGATGGTATGCCCACCAAAATTATTCCAATAGCCGGACCGTACTGTTAAAATTAATTGCAAATTTACGTACTAATTAACTACGTTCTTGGCGGTGAAGGAAAACATTGTGGAGAAACCTACATAATAAGAATAGTATATAAATATTTAGAAGACATTGAGTATAGCAAACGGTGAAACTATATGAATGCCTCTTCCCGTTCTTTTTTTGATTGACCATCAGCGTCCTCTCAGAATTCTAAGAATTTTTTATGAGAGGTATCTGAATCCAACAGTAGGACATTAATGGACTGTTTTTCTGAGTTATTTTAGTCTTAGTAGCGCCTGTAAAAAACCAATAGCAATTATTGTTACTCTAATATTGCTATGTTAATAATATTAAAAATTAAGCGGTGTCGTTTTTTCCTTCCAAACTGATTGACTGATTTTTGTGGGAGTAGGCATTCTTATTATAATGCCGTTCTGCTATCTGATAGCAAAAATATTGTCCGTTTGTGGCATGCAAATCTGACCTAGGTATTTCAAGTTTGTTAAAATCTGTTTGCATAGGCACTGCAATAATTAACAAACAAAAACAAATTTGCTGTTTTAAAAAATGAGTAAAAGAAACAATATTACTATTTTCTTTAAACATTGAGTTAATAAAAACGCAGGTAGAATGTACGACAATGCAATACTTTGGCCAAACCAAAGCTACGTGCCTTGCATGCCTTACCCTAACATAAACAATCAGAGCACGGTTCGCAAACAACAACATATTGGTGTTTGTAGCGCCAACACCGAAATAGAAGTGAATCAATCATACTCAGTTCAGTTTGTATAAACATTTTAAAGTAAAAAAAAAATTGAAATTGAAACTTTGAAATTGAACAACCTTATGCATGGAGAGGATGGTAATACGCAGTGATTAGGATTATGTGATAAATAAATCGTTTTCTCAAGTCTTTAATTTAAACCATCATCACCATCATCATTGCACTACATCAAATAACACTGCTAAACACAGGCCCCCAAGGAATGCCACGAAGCTAAGTCGTAAACCACTTGCATTCATCAACTTCCTTCATCTCTTTCCAGCTCGTCACTTCATCTAGTTTAAACCCGTAGATAATTATAATATAATATGTACAAAGCTACAGTCACAGTCTACTCAGACAAAACTCTGAATTTAATGCTTTTCGTTAAAATATGAAGCTTACTTTTAGTTAATTTGACTATTCAGACTAGTGAATACTTTCGTTTGGTTCAAGCTCAAAATAATGTCAGTATTCAAAAAAATAGAAAACTATGATAACTACATTACCTTTGTTAGTTGTTATACATTTATATTGGCAACACTGATTATAGAATCTATGGTTTGAGTGTCTTTGGCGGATGTTAATATGTAGCAAGCTAATGCGTGGTATCTTTAATAATGTGTAATGTGTGTAGTTAGTAAAAGGTAAAGTTAAGTTGTGTAAAGCTGTAAAGGTGATTAATAAAACTATGAATCTATAATAAAGAAGTTTCTTTAATCAATTACATTAACAATCCTATTATGTAATCCAGTGTATCCGGCACTCAGCCTACCCGTATTCTATTTTTATACAATAAGGTCTACAAATGAGCATACAGTCCACCAACACAGTGTGAATACAAGTGGAATCTGAGGCACATACATCTTTCCTCGATAAAGAATGAAAACACGCCTTAATCCGAACACCCTTGATAACTACGACGTAATGGCTTGTTTTCAAACGCAGTAGCATTTTTTAGCTATTTAATATGTACCGGTATTCTTTGAGAGCGTGCTCTGTGAGCCAGCCTATTCAAACTGCTGCCGTAATGCAGCTCCGGCGTGTCCATAGGTAAGGGGTGTCTCAGTAAGAGTGCACTTTTTCATTTTAAAATAAAAACAAGTATTTTATGACAGAGTTGTGATATTTTTATTGTATTGTAAAGAAGACATGTTCCGATTAAGTATGGAATAAAATATCCTGCAAATGACCCCCACGGCTCCGATGACAGGCCATTACTCTTTTCATGAAATTTTCCATGACTTTTACACAGAGATGTGGCTGTATCTCACCGATGACGCGTTGGATTTCCGATTTGAGCTCAGAAATTGTTTCTTTAACATAAACCCGAGATTTCACAAAACCCCCAAGAAAAAAAAATCGCACGGCGTTAAATCGCACGATCTTGGTGGCCAGTTGACATCAGAGTTTCGTGAGATAATGTGTTCTGGAAATCGTTGCCGCAATAAGTCGATTGTTTCATGCGCGGTGTGGCAGGTTGCGCCGTCCTGCTGAAACCACATGTTGTCCAGATCCATGCCGTCCAGTTGAGGTCACAAGAAGTCCGTTATCATATTCCTGTAACGAATGCCGTTCACAGTCACTGCAATTTCGGCCTCATTTTCAAAAAAGTAAGGTCCAATCACGCCGCCTGACCAAAATCCGCACCAGACAGTTACTCGTTGTGGGTGCATTTGTTTCTCATGGATTGCATGAGGATTTTCTGAGTCCCAAATTCGACAATTTTGTGTATTCACGAAGCCATCCATATGGAAATGCGCTTCATCGGAGAAAATGACTTTTACGAAAAATTGGTATCGACTTCACTTTGCTCCATTACCCATTGAACGAATTGCCGGCGCTTTCCGTGGTCTGCCGGTTTGAGCTCCTGAGTTAACTGAATCTTGTACACATGAAGGTGGAGGTCCTTAGTCAAAATTCGCTGCGTAGTGCTTCGTGAAATTTGAAGTTGTTGAGAACGATGTCGAATTGATGTTTTCGGGTTTTCGGCTACACTCTTATTTACAGCAGCAATGTTTTCAAGAGACCGACCGGTACGTTGACGCAAAGGATTCTTATTATCCATAATTGACCCAGTTTCTTAAAATTTTTTAACCACTCTTCGAATGGTTGACACATTAGGTGCACTTTCTCGGCCGAAATTTGGCGAAGTTTGCGAGCGGTTTCAACGTAACTTTCCCCATTTTTGTAATGAGTTTTCACAATTATAACGCGTTGTTCTTTCGAAAACCTCTCCATTTTTAATAATGGGAATAAACAGTGATGACAGCTGTCAAATTTCAGAGTAGTGCCACTTGCATGAAAAAAAAAATATTCCAATTTTAAAAAGTGCACTCTTACTGAACATAGGCCTATGTTCAGCAGTGGACTTGTGAAGGGCTGTAATGATGATGATGATGATGACTCTTACTGAGACATCCTTTATAAGAAAGTATATTTCTATGGGCGTGATTTTTTAATAAAATGAACTGACAAATGAACCTGTATTCACCTATAATTTAAGAAGTCTACCTTCGTGTTGTCACATCTGAGGACTCAGGTGAAATGTCACATAACTTGTAATTTTATTAGCTCTCTATAGGAAGCTAAGGTGTGTTACTCACCTAGATAGCCAGGAGGCTATTTATTCTTATTCGATATTTCTTCTTATATGTGTAGGAATACAGAATAAGAATAAATACCAAAACTACCATCAATTATTTTGTTAGTGAAAAGATCAAAAGCACTGACTAAGAGATAGAGAGAGAGAGAGAGAGAGAGAGAGAGAGAGACCGTTAAAGCCCTAATTGGAACACAGGACTGCAACGTAAACTATACTTGACTAGTTGTGCCGATAGTATCAACTACTGCTCACTGTTGGCTTGTTTTAACAATCTCTTTGCGCTATTTCAACGCCAATTACCTCGCCAGTTTAACATTTATTTTTAACGAATACAACGTACATTCTACGTATCCAACATATTCCTATATCGAAGTACGTTTGTCTGATCGAATGACTTAAAATTAAATCTTGACATACAAAATCCAATTTGCACAAAGAGAACTCATCGAGCACACACTCGAGCTAGCTTCTTCTTATTATTATCAGCCCGTGAACGTCCACTGCTGGAACGGGCCTCTTCTATGTGTGTAGGGTTTAGCTTATTCGTATGCTTAACGAACTGATTAACGATCACAGTGTCCAAGCCTTTGCTTAGCGGTGGTCTGGGTATTTTACGTCTGACAAAAATATAATGGTATACACACCATACTGCTTCCTTTCAGAATATTTTTCTAAATTTTTTATAGATGAGGGGGTAAACCAGCATGTCACTCACTTGATGGTAACTGTCGACCGCCGCCTATGAAAAACTGGAACAATGGGAATCGTAGGTGCGTTTCCGGCCTTTCAAAAAGAAGTAAGTTCGTTTCTTGAATGTCCCAAGTCGTATCAGTCCGAAAAAATCGCCGGTGGTAAACAATTTCACAAAGAAGTGCGGGTAGTAAACTCGTAATCCAATATATCCAATTCCTATACTTGGCGATATCCATGTGAAGAAATGGTGTGTTGTTCCAATTCTCCAACACCGCCACTACAATAATGAAATAAGTACAATTAAACAGTAAAGTACAGGCCTCCACTCACTTCTGAGAGGGTTTTGAGGCAATAAAATGTTCGCCGCGCTGTCTCAATGCGTGTTGGCGAACTTTACATATCTTCGAAAAAAATTTTTTGTTATTTTTCAGACATGTAAGTTTCCTCACTATGTTATCCTTCACCGCCGAGCACGTGCTAAGTCAGCACTTAAAATTGTAATTAACAATTTCATTGGTGAGATCGAAACCGGGTTGCTCGCGTACTGTGAAATTTACAACGAGCGCTTAACCCCGGAGCTTCCACGGTTTGATATAAGTAAATTAATGATATGATATAAGTAGAATAATTAAAACAATGAAATAAGTAAAATAGGTACAATTAACCTTTCACGTTTAAACGTTTTAAAAATGTTAAAGCATATATCAATACAAACAATTAAAATTGAAGTGTCTATTTGTAATGTCAAAATTAAAGCTTTCTACTAAATGCATATAAATGCACATGAAAGTAGATTCGGTATTTATAGCAAAAACAATATTTGTTTTAAATTTCGTCTATCTGTCTGTTTGTTCTTGCTAATCTCCAACTGAACTCTCCAGCTGAACCGATTGTAACGGGACTTTTACTGGCACATAGCTGATGTTATAAGGAGTAACTTAGGCTATGTTTATCATAGAAAAATAATTTGTGTTCCGCGCACAAAAAAAAAACATAAATTACACGCAGGTGAAATCGCGGGAACAGCTAGATATGAAATAAATATCTGCATCTACTCAATCATATCTAAACATCTCATGTTGTTGCTGAGAGCGCCGAGCGCTATTTCGCGCTTTGACTAGGGAAGCCAACTTTTTTATTTCAAATATAGTATTTTCGAGATTATTATCTATGAAATTAAGTAGGAAAGTTCTTGTGTATAAAAGTATATTTCAATAATTGAACTGATGGCCTAGGACATGGAATCCGATGAGTGCAGGTGGTTTAAGACAGAGTCTTGTGATAATCAAGTAAGACTAAAATGGTGACGTTTTAAATAAATTAATTTGTATTTGTATTTATTAAGGGAATATTTTTGCTGCTTTGCGCCTTTTCAATTAGCCATGTTAATAATTTAATCATTTCACCGACAGTATATTTTTTTAGAAATACTTTTTAGACCCCTAATAGGCTGGCATCCCTAGGTGTGAACACAAACTAAAATGGTTTACAAATATAGACGGCCTTGAGATGGCACTAGTGCGTAGTTATACAGTCGGAAGTAGCCGTAATATCATAACAACCTGTTGATCCCAAATTGTCCTGACTAAGGTTTTGATACTATATAACTTGTAAACATGATATTTGCAAATGCATATTTTTACAACAATATGTTCATCACCAATT